CTGGTAGTGGTTAAGACTGCACCCAGTTAGAAACATGCACAGCTCAGGAGACTGGTGGGGATGGATGTTGGTATTACTGTGGTGGTCTTTGGTTGCTTTAAGAAAGAATTTAAAATGGAAAAAAGATGAAACTCCGTGTGATGGTGGGACTTGAACCTCACATTCCGTTGTGACAGCAGGTTTAGAATTATCCCCTATTAGCAGTGAGCAGTTTCCAGCACAAGCCAATGGGCGTCATAAGAGTGGGTATTGGGGACGTCGCACCCCGCATTTGTCAGTTTTGTTGGCTGACTCTTGGTGTTGTCAGCAAGAATACAGAAGCAAGGGGGAGATCTTGTGTGTCAAGTCAGGGAATCTGACTACAATCTTACTCCTGAAATTTGCCGATGGTCTGTTGGCCAATGTCATGATCCCCCTCCCCCGTTTATAATGATCTAGCCATTCCCGGTCTCAAATTTGCGAGATGGGCTCAACTACCATCATTATATCAATTTGGTTTTTCAACCCTGCTGGAGGGCTCGCTGCTAGAACTCACTGTGTAGTGAAAGGTATAGTGAAAGGTCATCAAAGGCTCTTCCATTTTTATGTGAGCCACGCAAAAAAAGTGATCGTATTTTGTCGGCAGGTGTTTTCCAATTTTTTTTTCCTGCTGAAAGAACCATCTTATGGTGAGCTTAAGATTCATTTGTAATTAAAAATGTCTCAGAATGGATTCAACTTGAAAATCTTTTGATGTGGTCTGTAGATATCAACGAGTGCGTAGAGCAGCAAGGCGTGTGCCACTACCGATGCGTTAACACCAGGGGATCCTACCACTGCATCTGTCCTCCGTCATTCCAGCTGGCTGCTGACGGTAGAATGTGTGACGGTAAACAAAATAGTATACAGATATTGACTGCTACGAGTGCTGCAGTAAAACTAACCTCCCACTGTGATCCATAACATTCTATTTTTTTCAGATAAAGTACTGACTGTCTGGTTTATCACACTTCTCCCGCAGATTCTGATTAATTTATGTGATAATTGGTTTTAATTCAATCCAAAAAGTAATTTCTGTTCAAGTAGCTAAGCTGGCGAAAAGTTACCATCACTTTTCCAATGTACCCCTTCATCAAATGTTTAAACCCCTCTAGAGCTGTTCTAGCAACAGGACTGCAGGCAGGACGCTCACTCGTATGCATTTGCACACAATGCAGTTGGTATAGTATTGTTGTTTATAATTCTGTGGTTGTTGCAGATATGGTACTGTGGCTACTTTAATTTGTTTGACCATGCAGAGCAAGACAGTCAAAAAAGTCAATGTCATGTGACTAGTTCTCGTCCAACCAAGAATCTCTGGTTGAGGTGTTACATCGCTGTGTCATTTGTAAAAATGAAAAATAGCAAAGAAAACATTGTAGACAAAATTAGGAATGTTTGTCACTTCTTACAGCATGATGGCATTTTTTTTTTCAGATGTGGATGAGTGTACAGTAAGCAATCATGGTTGCCAGGGTGGATGCGAGAACACCATGGGCAGCTACCACTGCACATGTGCAGAAGGACAGCTGGGCACCGGTGATCTCTACTGTGGTAAACGTATGTTTAAGCAACGAAATCTTGCTTGCAGTTTGATGAGAAGCGTGACCTTTTATGGTTGTGCTTGAATTCTGTTGAAAGTCTTTGTGAGTGTAGCTTTCAAGTATTTTGAAACTTGATACACTAAGACATGAGCCAGATAACAGGAAAGTCCAGTTTTATTAGTTTCGTGTTTAAATTCTGATTCGTAACTACATGTATAGGGATTTTAGAAAAAAAACATTTAAAAAGTAGGGGTATTTGCAAAAATACACAAAATCAAGTGGTGTTCCAACTACGACTTGTACATTTATTTCTTTAGTTTCTTACCTGTGTCATGCGTTGTGCACTTTATTCCTTATTCAAATGCCAAGTCTGCTAACACATCTATTCTACCGAGGCTTGAGTTTCTGCAATGTCGACTTACGTTGTGGGATATGTGGACTCTCAGAAAATATGCCAAGTAAACAGTGGCTGTATTAAAAGAATGCTGATCAACTAGTCAAATCTGTGATAAATGATTCAAATTGTTATACTTTCCACAAACTGCTTGACACAATTAGGAGGTTAAAGAACTACAACAAAATGTTGCCTGGTCCATTATTTTGTAGGCATGCAACTGATGTGTCATGTCCCTGCATTCTAAGTGCAAATTTGTACTCACTGAGCATAGGTCAACAAACTGACAAAGTCATTGAAACAATGCCCTGTTTAATTTAAAATAGTGCAGTTTGTCAGAACAACATTCCAAGAAATTTTTTGTTTGCAGTGCAATCTTTCTTAACATATTAGTACAAAAAAAATTGAAAGTAAGAACAAACAAAATTAACAGGATATTATTCAGAAATGAATTTGGCCGCATATTGTAATACTTTACCATTACTATTACTGTTTTTACTGCTGTTCTGTTTAAGGTCTATCTTCCCAGGTTGGAGCCTCAGCTAAATAAGTGTGTGAATTACACATCTCCATTCTACACAGTTCAGTGCCAGATTTGCATCGATCCCCAGACATTTTAATTCACTTTTTATGCTTTCAGTTCACCTTCTCTTTGATGGGTGGGTGTCAGCGATCTGATTAGTTAAGGATAACGACCGTGCAGTTGTTGTTGCTTCTATGCTGGCAATGACCTCACCTTTTAAATTTGCCCTTCTTGCCTTGGTAGAGCCAAGTGGATGTACAAGTGACATGTGCTCCCACAAGTGTGTGGACACAGGAGTTGGCCACCAGTGTATGTGCCCCAGGGGATACCAGTTACACAGTGGAGGTCGCCATTGTGAAGGTATGTGGCATCAGTACAGAAGTCTATTAAACTTGCACTTAAATACTTACAGTCCAAACGTATGGTAATTTGTGACCACATCTCTGCATGAACTGCACCTCAAGTGAGCCTACATTTGATTGTGTTTTTGCATGCCATTTCCAGAAGATTGGGTTTTCTTGTAAAAGCAAAATACCACCTGATTTTTAAACTTCTGTCTGTCACCAGATAAAAATGAGTGCCTGGAGGTTGGAAAGGGTGGTTGCCAGCATCAGTGCACCAACACCATGGGCAGCTACTACTGCTCCTGTTACCCCGGCTACCGGCTCCACTATGACAGGAAACACTGCGTGCCCAGCCCGGGCTGCAACACGTGTAACGTCTGCCCCGCGGGATTCCGCATGAATACGCAGACTCGACGGTGCGAAGGTAAATAGGGCATTGCCTTCCAAACCAATTAACCCATCCCCTGATCCAAACTCCACCCCTCTCTGTACACCAGTCCACTTCAAACAGTTGGGATGAGGGGAAGTAGATTCTGAGTAGATTAGCAAATCTGTCCCAAACCACTGTGTGCCATCAGGTTAACCACTTCCTGCCAGGGACTCTAGGATCAGAGACGTATGGTTTATATGGGTGGCCGGGGTCTCCAAACTCAGACAAAGGAAACAGGGCCCTGTAACAAAAGACCGTACTCCGAACAAAAGACCAGGCTGCTGGGCATTACCAACATTTTTCACTCTCAAATGTGGTGATAATCCAGCCTTGTTTTGAAACGGTATACCAGGGTTTGGGGCATTGAGAGTGAGCGGATTACCACCAGGGACAAAAAT